GATCATGCATGCATTTCCTGAATGGAGGATAAGCTCATGTCTTAGGAGTCAGAAAGCCCGGCTTCCAGTCCCAGCCTTACCACACCCTGTTGTACGACCTTAGTTAGGTAAGTGATTTAGTTTTTTTTTTTTTTAAGTGATTTAGTTTAAGGATGAGTTTTTCATCTGTGCAATGGAGATAATATAGTATCCATCTCTGAGTGTTAATATGAGGAATAAATGAAACAATGGAGCTGGTATATCTAGAAGGGTACCAGGAACACAGCAGAAGTTTAATAGTTTATTATTACTGGAATTTTTTTTTGTCTTCTCTGCCTAGAACACAGCATAACCCTCCGCTCTTTCTCTAAGGCTCAGTCAGTATGACATTCCTCTGGAAGGAAGCTTCCACGGACATTTCCCCACTCATAAATGTCTCCTTTGTGCTTTCGTTGTAACCTGTGAACACTTCGTCCTTGGAAGCACTACTTTTATTTTTATGGTCAGCTCCAGTATCTGTCTCTTGGCCAGACTGAGAGCTCGCTGAAGTCAGGGCGCTATTACTTAACCCCTCCCCTCCCAGCTTGCATGGCTTTTGGTCATGTTAGGGGTTTAAGTATTCGCTGGGTAAATGAACAGAAAGACAATATTGCATAGTTTAAGGGAGAAATGATTGTTACAGATAATCAGGGCTTATCTGAGGTCTGAGGAAAAGGCGAAAGGGACTAATACTTGTGGACTATGTTCAAAGAAAGAAGGACAATTTGATAAAAAGAAGTGAAGGTTTCTGTGTGAAGTGAAGAAAGATAAAAAGACATAAAGGCTCTGATATATTACCTATAATTTTTTTTAAAGAACTCTGTTTAAACAGGGTGATGATCGTGTGTATTTGAGTTTGTTTAATTGCTACCCTCAGAATAGTTATTTAACATTTGAAGTTTTCCAGCGTTCTTGGATTATTTAAGGGTAGTTCTGTTATATGCCAGGGCTTCCCAGGTGGGCTCTAGTGGTAAAGAATCTGCCTGCCAGTGTAGGACATAAGAGACACAGATTCAATCCCCGGGTGGGGAAGATCCCCTGGAGGGCGTGGCTACCCACTCCAGTCTTCTTGCCTGGAGAGTCCCATGGACAGAGGAGCCTGGCATGCCACAGTCCACGGGGTCGCAGAGTCGAACACAAGTGAATTGACTTAGCACACACGCACTGCTACACTCCAGAGGTTGACATTAACACTTTGGTTATGTTTATTTCCAGTGAACATCAGAAGGTGTATTAATTAGCATACTGGGTGTCAGATTTTATTTTTTTGTTGGTGGAGTGAGTTGTGCTTGTTGGATTGGTAGACAAGTTGTTCAGAATCCTTGCCTTCACAGGAGGAGAGCTCAAGCAGCTCAAGTCCTTTGGAACGGCCTCCGGGTCTTAGAATTCCACTAGATCCTGTGTCTATCGCTTACAGAGAAGTCTGTCATCTGACCAGTTAACTGAATCTTGCCGCTAGCATCTTGTCACATCTGCTTTCTCGAGTGAAAGGACGGAGAGCCGGGACTTTGAGAGCTTACAAACCAGGCGGTCTGATGCTTGTTCCTGCTGGCTGATGAGCATCTCTGGGTGTCAGAATTCGGCTGGAGACTCGCGTTTTCTATGACAGGCTGAGAGGCAGAGGGAGAGGACACTCCTGGCCCTCACTTACCCTCACCACTGAAGCCGGTGGAGTGATAAACCTGATACTGTGATGGTGAGCAGCCATTGGTTCAGGTCATCGTGGACAAGTAGGTTAGGAAGCCTTGGTAGCAATGAAAATGGAAAAGCAAAAAAAAAAAAAAAGGAAGCATGGGCGGGACCCAGAGGAGAGCAGAATCAGCAGGGCCTGGCGGCTGTGGCGCAGCGGGCGCTGCTACATCTGGGTACTTCTCTTCCCCCCAATTCATATTGTGATCCTAACCCCCAAAGGTGGCGGCCTTGGAGCTGGGGCCTTTGGGAGCTGATTGCGTAGTGGAGCCCCCAAGGACAGGATTAGTGCCCTTATGTAGGGTGAGTCTTTTCCGAAATACTGGTCTATTTATTTGGCTGCGACGGGACTGTTGCAGTCGTGGCATCTTTGATCTTTGTCGAGGCGCGCAGGATGTTTAGTTGCAGCATTCCAACTCTTATTTGTGTCATGTGAGCTCCAGTTCCCTGACCGGGGATCGAACCTGGGTCCCCTGCATTGGGAGTGTGGAGTCTTAGCCACTGGACCATCAGGGAAGTCCCAGTGCTCTTATACAAGAGACCCCGGAGAGCTTTTTCTCCTTTTCTACCATGTGGGTGAAGTCTGTGACCTACAAGAGGGCTGTCACCCTGACCTCGGCTCTCCAGCCTCCAGAGCCGTGTGAAATACATTTCTGTTTTTACAGAAAGTCACCTGGTTTGTGATATTGTTATATTAGCAGCAACAGCAGATGAAGACAGGCACTGAGGCTGACTCTGCCCACAGAAGAGGCATGGCTTCACCGTCCTAGAAGCAGCTGCTGCTAAGTTGCATCAGCCGTGTCCGACTCTGTGAGACCTCATAGACGGCAGCCCACCAGGCTCCGCCATCCCTGGGATTCTCCAGGCAAGAACACTGGAGTGGGTTGCCTTTTCCTTCTCCAATGCATGAAAGTGAAAAGTGAAAGTGAAGTCGCTCACTTGTGTCTGACTCTTAGCGACCCCATGGACCACAGCCCACCAGGCTCCAGGGTCTATGGGATTTTCCAGGCAAGAGTACTGGAGTGGGGTGCCAGTGCCTTCTCCGTCCTAGAAGCAGACTCTCCTCTAAATCTGAGGGCAAGTCTGTATAGAGGTCCAAGGTGTCCCCAAGGCTTACTCTCCAGGTCATACATTTCCTGGGAGCTTGCCTTCTATTTGCAGCCTTCTCTTTTACCTAGAAACCCACTCCCAACATCCAATTTAGAAACAAACATATCTTCCGCTCTATAACATGGCTTTGGTAAAAGGGTTTTCTGTGCATCAGGGCAAAGTAAAGGGAAACCACAGCCATAGAACGTATTTTTGTTGGACACATCACCGTTGATACTTGGGGACTCCTCAACTGTGAAACAACAGGTCCTTTGTGATCATTGGAGCTCCCTGGTTAAGCAGAATTTCCTCTCTCAGCATCTTCCTGCTGTTTTAAGAAGTCAACAAATAAAGATGAATATCACATTCTTTATTGTTGATATCCACAACACCATCAAACAAAAGAGAACACAAACCACCTTATTTTGGCTTTTTATTTGCCATCACTTTAATTGAGACCATCAGCTCTCCCAGGGAGCCTTGTAAAAATACAGATTCCTGGGCCCAGCCCCCCCGATTCTGGTTTTGCAGACATAAAAGAGAGGTTGTCTTTCCCAGCAGAGAGTCAGCTGTGTTTATGTTTAAGGAACCTTTGCTCCTTTGTCCCAGGACCGGCTACAGGCTTGAGTGAAGATAGAACTTCCCGTGTACTCTTTGCCAGTGTCCATGTGGCCTTGTTTTGTTGCAGCCACTCACTGGGTCAGTAATAAATTGCCTTCAGGCCCAGGCCAGCTCTGTTCTCCATGCGGGCTCCCCCAGCTTTTCCATTTGCTTCAGCCTTCTGTTTCTAAACTGGCCTTGGCAGATTCAGAAGGTGCCTTGGAGACATTTCTGTGCCCAACAAGCAACTTGACTTGGCGCAGGGCTCTGGCCAAGAAGGCTGGTGGGGAGAGCACGGTCTAGGTTTCCGAACGCAGCGCGTGACGGGGAGACTGACCGGGAGAGGAGACTTCGGAGAAGACATTCCTAAGGTTTTCTGAGAGAGGCAGGCAGAATCTGATTTTGAGGCATAAAAACACAGCCTGGGAGGAAGAGGTGGAGAGGTTGCCAACTCTTCCTATGTCTGTATTTTAACTCTGCCTGTTCAAAGCTCAGCTTAGGTGAAATGTGGACGTTCGTGGGTGGGTCTGTATACATCTTCTTAGGCCCTTGTGCCTCAGTGTGAATGGACGTATTAATACTAGGTCCCTTCCTGGAATCAGGAAAGAAAAGAGAATGATGGTTGGTCATGAAAAGCAGGAAGGGCGAGGTGGGCGGAGGGCCCCAGAAGATGAACTCTGGCTCGTTGGCAACCCTGCCTGACACGGGGAGGGCGCGGGGCGCAGGACCAGACGCACTCACGGCAGGCGAAGGGCGCAGGGACCCGGGCTGACGCGTTCTTTGGAAACATTTCACACGAACGCCTTGAACTTGAGTGGATACAGGAGGATCTTTTTTTTTTTTTTTTTCATTTATTTTTATTAGTTGGAGGCTAATTACTTTACATCATTGCAGTGGTTTTTGTCATACATTGAAATGAATTAGCCATGGATTTACATGTATACAGGAGGATCTTCAGCACCTTGAAGTCTTTATCTTTCTTGTGTCCCCCAGTAATGTTTTCTTTAAAGATTTTTTTTTTAATGAGGACCATTTTTAAAGTCTTTATTGAATTTGTGTCAATATTGTTTCTATTCTGTGTCTTGGCTCCTTGGCCACGAGGCATGTGGGATCTTAGTTCCCCGAGCAGGGATGGAACCCTATCCCGTGCACGGGAAGGCAGACTCTTAACCACTGGACTTTCAGAGAAGTCCCGGTCAGCGCTGTTTCTGTTTGTTTTTACTCCCATTATAATTGTGACGATGCATTGAATATAGTTCCCTGCGCTACACAGGAGGGCCTTGTGGCTCGTCTACCTTATAAAAATGGTAGTTTGCATCTGCTAATATGAAACTCCTGATTCATCTGTCCCCCTGATTTAGCAATTAAAGGAAAAAAACATTCAGAAGACTTAGCAATAAACTATATGTTTATGAATAGAATTAAATAGGAAATCCAAATGTATTGTTATTATGGTAAAACAGACCTAACATTTGCATTTGAACCATTTTTAAGTACACAGTTCAGGGCGTTAAATAGGTTCACATTGTTGTGTAACCATCGCCACCATCCCGTCTCCAGGACTTTTTCATCTTCCCGAGCTGAAACTTTGTGTCCATTAAACACTAACTGCCATGGCCCCTCCCTCCAGCCCTTGGTAACCCTGCTCTACTTTCTGTGTCTATGAATGATGCCAGGATTTTATAATATGGATCCTCTAAGATACAGCTCACATGCTTATACCCTAAGAGCGTCTCTCTCTCCTTGGATAAAACGAGTCGCCTGCTCTGGTGGCTTTTCCTATGTTTCGGCCATTTGTGTCTCCAAGACTCCTTCACTACAGGGTCACCGTCCTCCTGCGCTTCCCCGGTGTCTCCGAGGTAAAGAATCCGCCTGCAATGCAGGAGCCGCAGGAGGCCCAGGTTTGGTTCCCTGAGTTGGGAAGATGCCCTGGAGGAGGGCATGGCAACGCACTCCGGTGTTCTTGCTGGAGAATCTCATGGGGAGAGGAGCCTGGCGGGCTACAGTCCATGGGGTCGCAGAAGAGTCAGACACGACTTAGCGACTCAACAATAACAGTGCTGGCAGGTGAGTGGTGGGTCTGCTAATCTGATCAGTCTTGGGACATCGCTGGGCGGCTCTGGGCATGCAGCCACACACCGCGTGCTCAGGACCCACTTGCTCTAAAAACCACAACAAATAGCGAGGCAGATCACCCCAGCTGGCTCGGAAACTGGCTCTCTCACCAGCCCGCCGTCTCTCAGGGAGGCAGGTTCAAGGTAGCTAATAAGTAATGTGGTTGTGATTTTTGTTTAGCTTCGTGAACTTCACAGGCAGCTTAGCTGCAGTTGCGCAAGCAAACCCTGAAACCACAAGCTGGGTCCTTTCCCTCTGTTGTCTTCCACCAGGAGGACCGCTCTGACTGAGGGCCCTCATTTGGGGTTAATACTGAATCAAAGCAGAGTTTAAAGCCAGAGGGGAGAGCAAAGCACTACTTTTTTTTTTCAACTCAGAAACCTTTGAGATCCAATCGTGTCTGACTCAATCAGCCATTCTCAGCTTCCCTTCTGAATTCTTCTATAGCTTGTCAACGGGTATCTAAATCCTAGCTACTGTGTAATTGATCAGCTTCCTGGTTTAATTACCTAGCCAAGCATATTCTCAACCAATCAATTTTGCTCCTGAAATGCCAGCTGCCCTGCTCTGGCGAAGGAGGGGGTCAATTAATCCTTGTTTGCTTTTTAATTCGTGTTCCGAATATAGTACATTCACACATGGGTTAATTTTTAAATCCACTCTCCTCTTACTTCACTGCTTTGTTTAATTCGCCTGGAAACCTCGGTGACACTAAAACCCTATCAACCTCTTCTTATTGCTTATCCAGCCTCATTAAATAGCTCAGCAAATACCTGACCTGGTCATTTCCCAGACTTCTCCTGGTAGCAATTGTCCAAAGTCCCCTTAATTTTTCTGTTCCCAGCTGAAGTCCTTCGTAGGGGTTTTCAGGCACTGCTGACAACCCTCCATCTTAAGGGCTTCCCTGGTGGCTCAGTGGTCAAGAATCTGCCTGCAATGCAGGAGACCTGGGTTTGATCTCTGGGTCGGGAAGATCCCCTGGAGGAGGAAATGGCAACCCGCTCCAGTATTCTTGCCTGGAGAATCCCGTGGATGGAGGAGCCTGGCGTGCTGCAGTCCACCAGGTCACAAAGAGTCGGACATGACTTAGCTACCAAATAACGACAACAAAAACTCCATCTTAACCTGGCATAGAAGGGATGGGGGCTCTTTCCTTAGGTCATCTGAAGGCCTGTTCCCAGGTCCTCTTTCTCAGCAAATCCAGCAGGTCTGTGAGCCCAGACCCCACTGCATTTTCAGGGATTTAAGAGGCGAGAATATGTAGAAGGTGTCAGGAGCCAGGGGTGCAGAAATGAGTCAGTGTCAGGTCGCTGTATCTCCTTTGGCCATGGCCTTGCCAGGCATGTAAACAGAATCTCGTCCTTCTGGTTTAAATGCTGATTCTTACTTAAGCTGCAGCTTGGAGAGCTCACATAATGCCAGGAGTGGCAGCGTGACGGGCAGCGCAGGAGAAGCATGTCCCAGGTTCGTCTGCCCTCCCATCCCGAGCCTCTGACCCAGCTGGGAGTCCCAGGAGTACCTGGGCTGCGTTTAGACTCTTTGAGTTCCAGCCCCGGGCTTCATCCCTCGGCCAGGGGGTCAGATCTGTGGAGGGTCCAGACTGGTTTGATTCTGGTGTGTGGCCAGCGTTGTTGGAATATACCAGCTTTACTACGTAATTTAGTAATGTACTTTAGTAATGTGCAGTCGGCTTGGGTATAATAACCTTGAAGCCGAAGATCAGTCAGAAAAGCGTTAAGCAAGTCTACTGGGAACCTTTTACAGCATCTGAGCGGCCTGCCTGGATTTGGCTAATGCGCGTTTCCTCTCGCCTGACAGAGCGCACAGTGCCTCCAAACCCAGGGGAGGCTCCCCCAGGGACGGTGGCCTCCGCACTTTCCCAGGATAGTCATGCCATGGGGCTTGGCGGCTCGCAGCTTCTAAGCAGTTCTCAAAAGCAAGCTAGGAAGCAGGCGTCCGACCTTTGGGAGTTTTGATCTTGTAGTTTTCAGCTGGAATGTTTAATATGATAGCTAAAAATAAACAGGCGAATGGGTACTTTTTCATAAGCCTGCTCATAAGTATCGGAAAAATTCCGAGGAATGAAACATTCCAGTCGTTTCTGGTATCACAGAGAGAGGCTGAGCAGAGACGCAGAACAAGGCGCCTAGGCTCCCTTCCTGGTCAGGCCCAGCTGCTGCCCAGGTGCCCCAAGCTGTGACTAAGGCGGATCTGACCCATACAGATTGTTCCAGGCGGAGCTGATAGCAGCATTGGAGACCGGGCCGAGGTTGTGTTAGAGGTCGTATTATGCATGAAAACACTGCAAAGCTAATGCCACGCAGCTAGGCCGCAGGGGAGCCGACAGCTCCCAGGAGAAAGGCTTTTTGTTTTCAGGCTTATGGGGCCCCTGTGGGGTTATTTCCAGGGTGTCTGTGACTTTACTCTCATCTCCTTCCAGTTCTGCCCCCAAAGCCACAAGGCGAGAACAAGAGTGGAGGGCTATAAACCCAAGATGACCGGTTTAGAGTAAAAAATAAAATGCTGACCCTTGTAGGAAGGGGCGAGCATCCTTCCTCCATCCCATGTGGAAACATTTTGGTGACTTCCACAGTAAAAGCTATTTGAGAGTATATTATACCCATACATTTTTGTGATACAGGTTCTGTGCCTTTAAAATCCAGGATGCTCGTTTAGCAGTTGTTTTGACTTTTGCAAAATCTGAGTTGTGCAAACCTGCCTGGGTGGGGCAATTGCATAAGCTGGGATGTTATGGTGTTCAGCTTCTGGGTGGTTGACTGGGATTGAATGCATCCATGTATTGGTGTCCGAACCCAGAACTGGAAGGGTAGGAAAAAATCCTACATAAACACATGCACACACATGTGTGTGTTTGCTTGCTTAGCTATTTAACATCTTCTGTCTTAGCTTGAATTTCCTGAAAGAGGAGCCTAAAAGGAGCTTGCTTGCCTGCTAGCCATTACTTGGGAGCATCCCCGATAACATGGAGCAAATGTGACAGAGCAAGGGGACAGAGCGGGGAACATCAGAACAAAGATGCGTGACCCAGCCAGCCATGCTTCAAGCACCTGGTGCTCCTTCCTGCTGGAACCTTCTGAGAAGCCTCCCGTGACCCTCTTAGAACTGGCTGCCCAAGCGGCCGGGGGGCGGGGGGTGGGGGACGGACTTCTCCCAGAGTCCAGCCACCACTGCCCACAGGGCTGCACTCTCCCCAGCCCGCTCTGGGTGCCTGGTGGGTGTCGAGCAGCCCCATCGGGGAGCCCCAGGGCTGGAAGCCGGAGCTGAGGGGAGGAGGCTGAGGAGGAGGCTTCCCTGAGCCGTGTCCATGGGACGCTGGGCCGAGCAGAGTGGACCTGGTCCCTATCGCGATGACTGGAGCGCGCGGGGAGGCCAGGCAGGGTGTCCCGGGAGAGCTGGGTGAGAGGCTGTGCGCTCAGGGTACTGGGGAGGCGTGGGAGCCCCAGTGCAGCGCTGCTCTTCCCCCTTCTCAGTCTCAGAAGTGAGGCTGCTCTCTTCCTCTGGGCATACGGGGGGCGTCTCGCCCATGAGGGTCTCGTGAGCTTCCTCAGGGACCCAGGGGAGGCCAGAGTGTCCTTCTTGCACTGCTGAACATTGGGCCTTGCCTTTCTATCCAGCAGGAACTCTTTTCTATGGGGTCAGGGTTTTAATACAACAATGGACATGTGAAGATTCCCTTTGGTGGGAACCTTCTCCTTCTCATCTCCTCCCCAAAGACTGAAGAAGTCGGAGAAGCTGGTCCCTAGAAGTTAGAGAGAGCGGTGTGGCATCCAGCGATGTAACTGGGGGCAATTAGGAACACTTTCCTAACTGGAAAGCCTCGTTGAGCAGCTTTGTCGCATTTCGTGCTACTTGGGGCTCACCATGAAGTGTGGATGCTGCGGTGTTCATTTGCAGCAGGAGAGAAATGGCTGAATCTTCCAAGTACATTTTTGCCTGATGTTGCAGCTGCTACAGAAAGCAAGTAACATAGGAAGGAAATAATTGAAATCAGTAAAATGCAAGAAAATCAAGAGATGGGGCTGAAAGTGGAGAGCAGCTTCTTTAAGGGCGAATTCTGGAGCTATATGCTTTTTGTCCTCCCCCCACTGGCTGGCCACTACCCTGCAGACGTCAACAGACACGGTGAGCTGCTGTGCATTTCCAAGGATTCCGAATGAGAGAATCCTTATTTGTCGAAATGTAATGGCTTTCTCATGACACAGACTGACAGAGAATAACTGCAAAATACAGGTCTCACAGAGGACTTGTATTCAGAATATATAAAGCATTGAAAAAACTCCCTTATAAGAAGATAAACAACTTGATTAAAAAATGGGCAGAACATCTAAATAGAAACTTCACCCTGGAAGAAGTGCAGGTGGCAAATAAACACACACAAAGATGTTCAGTACCGTTAATTATTGAGGAAACGTCAATTAAAACTACATTGAGCTAACACTACACACCCCCTAGAAGAGCTGCAACTAGAAAGGTTGACAATGTGTTGGTGTGGAGCTAGCGGAACTCACACATACCATCGGTGGGAATGGAAAATGGTAGCCGCTTTGGAAAAGTTTGAAAGTTTTCTTTTAAAGTTAAACAGATACTTACTATATGACCCAGTAATCCCACTTTTTATTGTTATTTGTAACAACTCAAAATGGGAAACAGTCCAAATGTCCATCAACTGGTGAATGGTTAACTGCTTTGTGGCAAATACATACATTGGACCATCACTCAGCAGTGACAAGGCGGGAACAATTCATGCACAGAATAGCGTGGGTGCATCTCGTGAGTGTTATGCCAAGTGAAAGAAGCCAGACACAAA